AACCTTCAACTGGTAACAATTGTCTTGGTTATAGCTCACTTCAAAAACAAAACAAAAACAAAAAAAGGCACTTGGGAAATATTTCTGAATGCAAATAAAACAAGATTTTAAATTTGAGATTGAATTAGCTTCAATACAATACACCACATAACCCATATCAAGGTCCTACTTAAACATCTTTCTGGTCTCCCTCAGGCTGTTAGAGTTATACTGGTTGCTTCTGTCCTGTCCTAGCAGTAGCCTGGACCTTCCCAGTCATGATCTGCACCTCTCCACGACCCTGCCCAGTCACTGGACTCATCACACATTCCTCAAGGATTTCTTCATGAGCCTGTCTCCTTGTTACACTGTGAAATCCATGAAAGCCTAGGCTCTGCCTGGTGCTTTTATTGCCGGGTCATCCAAACTCAATGGGACATAATTATAAGTATAAACATTATCCACTACCCAAATTTGGGCAGCGATTCCACTGTGGTTGCTTTGCATTCCATAAATGTGTGAGTCTCTTGTGCTAGGTATGGTGCAGGATGAACCAAACCTAGACCCCGTCCTCTAAGAGCATCTAGTTAGATAAAATAGTCAAGGCAAGTACATAGTACCTATGTTACAAAGTATACACAGGAACACCAAAAAGGACAGGTATTAGAGAATGCCTAGAAAGGCACAGAGCTCACCTGGGTAGTTCAAGTACCTGGAGCTAAGGCTATGGGACAGGAAACACGAAGGCTGCCTATCTAGAGGTTCTTAAATTCTATCTCTGATTGAATAATCAGCATGTGCTAGGCTGAGTGCTTTTGCCTTTGTGTTTCTGTCACAATAAAGAAAAGAGGCTCGGAAAACCTGAGAAAATTGCTTAGGATGTCACAGACTCCAAAGGGAAGGGCTAGGAAGCACACCCAGACTAGCCTGGCAATAACATGACCAATGCTGCAGGCCACCACAACTGAAGAGGGATGGCTTTGTCTAGCAGGACACTACTTTAAGCAGGAGTGAGAAGGTCAAAATCAGTGATGGAAAGACTCATCAGACAGCAATAGGGAGAATGGGTTGGAGGCGGTCAGGCTTAAAGCCTGCTGAAAATATCGTAATATGAAACCCTGAAACCTAGAAAGTGGCAACAGAGCTGATTAGAGCAGTTCAGAGTTAAGGAACTTCAGAGGGAGACTGCGGACATTTGAGAAGAATCCCAAGGTGTGTATTTGATCAAAGGGAAAGATGAGGATTTGGTGGCAAATCTGTATGTGTGTATCCTATGGGAAAGAGTGGGAATGGCATTAAATTCTCAGGAGTTCCAAGCCAGGAAGAAGGCTAGTCCCTCTCTTCCTCACCCCCACCTCTCCCTAGGATTGGATTCTCACTCTAGAAGTTCCTCAGCTGTTGCTCTCATTTGGGACAGCTGAGGTTTGGAGACTCACAAAAGCAGAGGACTGATGACTTTATAAGATGTCACACAACTGTGCTCACTGAGGTCTACTGTCCTCTGACTGGCCTCCTGCAGCACAGAGGATGCCTGATCCCAACGCAGCACCAAGAAGTAGAAGAGTGCCAGGCAGGAGGAAGAAGCTAGGAATTCGGACTCCTTCACTGACTCCCTGTCACCCTAAGCCAGAGAATTTTCTCCTATCCATCTCAGTTTCCTCACTTGTAAACCAATGAGCTTGGACCAGAATCAGAAATTGCAAACTGGAGGCAGTAACTCATCCTGCAAATGGACTTTAACAAACACCACAACGGCATTTAACTGCACTACCCATAACATTTAAAAATCAGGCCATTTCACAAAGCATGTATTTGCTACCCCTCTGCAAGCAGGAAGCTCTAGCAACATGAACCCCCACATTCCTATGTGGCATCAGTTAGCTAGAGCTGAATAGCTGCAGCCTGCCTTAGATGAGGGTACCATTCTCTATGAGGCCATGGTCCTCACCACTCCCAATTGCCCCCTGGAAGTCACCACTCATCATCTACACCTGGGCCATTTTGCTCTTTCTACGTGTGGTCTTACTGCTACAGGTACCTGAACTCACAACACTTAAAGAAGGTGATCTGAACTATCTTCATGGAAGACTCTAGGTATGAGACAGAAAACAGAAGCACAGAGGAGCAGCAGAGAATTCCCCACAATGGAGGGGTGGGCTTCACAGAAGAGAAGGGACATGCTGCAGCTGCTGAAGGTTTGTCAACACTGGTATCAGACGTCCACAGTCCCCCAGCCCCCACCAAGGAGGCCCAAGGCCAGATGACATCAGCTTTGGATGGAGGCAGAGAAACCCCATCATGAAGCAATTTGCTTCCCTTGCCACTATCATGTAACAATCAGTTTAGGAACCTGATGAGGAACTTGCTGCTGGGGCAGAGAAATCATTCTGGTTCACCAGCCTCAGCTTGGCAGCTTCAGACCAACTCTCACTGCCCTTGCCTCCCCTGCATTTGCATCTCCTCCTCATACACCTACCTTCTTCTTGGGTCTCCCAGTTGAACTCCTTAGATATTCTCCTCTGAGCTCATTCTAAGACCTGCAGTGCTTCTGGCCTCATCACAGGATATGTATCAGGCTAGTAGGCTCAAGTCAGTCAATTCCTTGACCCATTCAGAGTCAGGGGAAGAAGGGAAGTCTGCACATAAAGCACACTGCAGCAACAAGGTGTATTCATCTGGAGATATCCCAGTACAAGTCCCAAATCAGAGCACAAGCTTTGGATCAGAGCTTGTCCTGACCCAGGCAGCAGCTCAGTTCTCCATTCTGTGTGGCCAATGAGCCCCCTCGTAAAAATGCATAATACTCCCCTCACGCGGCTGGCTTGCTCCTGCGTCTAAGCCTTCTCTCAAGCTCTACCTTAAACCAAAATAGAAAATTTTGGAGACAGAGTCATTGTTAAGGTGAGCTTGAAAATAAAAGTCAATAAAGTCACAAGTCCACAGAAATCTGGAGGCTATTTTGGAATTCAGTATTAGAATTACACTATAGAGAAGATAAGGCCAGGACCTAAAATAGCAGGCACTGAAAAAGGAAAGCATCCCTGCATGACTAGAGGGAAAATTCAAAGTGGCCATGAGGAAGAAAGGGCATGGAAATGGAACAACAACCCAGGAAATTAATCAGACCCAAAATAAAACTAAAGGGAATCAATGCCAAGGTCCATAACAGAAGTTATTTTGCTCAATGTCAGGGAGGCAATGGCATGGAGAATCGGGAAACAAGTCAGTTCCAGCATGACAGGTGCCCTTAAGAGCCAACAAGAGAAAGGTCAGGGTTGAACATGCAGTGAAGGCAGGAACCTAACTGACAAACAAGGTGTAAATAAACCACCAGGACCATATGGCATCTACCTGGGAGTCCCTGAAGGAATTCAAGGGTGAAATTGTGGAGCTCTGATTACAAAACCATGCTCTAGACCTGGCAGAGTGCCCTGATAGCCTCCATTCATAAGAAGAGGTCAGAGAAACTTCACAGGTTCACACCAAAAAGAAGGCCGAATATTTAGGAACAGGACCACTAGTCATGGGAGCAACCATGGCCTATCACAGAAAAGGCAATTCTAGGCAAAGCCTATACAAAAGAGGTTTTGAAGGAGTAAGTAGGAACATGAACTACAGAGAATCTGTAAAAATCATTTACAGAAGTTTCCAAGAAACAATCAGTAAGATACTATAGACTCATTTTTAAATAAATAACCACATGCTTAATGAAAAGACAATTTCAGGCAATTGAAGAACAGAAAAAATATGAAAGAATAAGCTGGAATTTCTTGCAATTAAAATTAAAAGTTTTCTTAAGGCTTCCAGGTTTTTGATAACATCATTCCATTCTACAAGAGGAAGCGAACAGTGAACTCTCCTCTTCTAGGCAAGAAAAAGAAATGCTGATCAAGAGAAATGATAGAGAGGCCTCTTCGGGTTCTAAGAGTTGATGTGAAAGAGGTAGCTGAGTTGCACTATGATGGGATCTATCTCATGACAATTCCCTGGTCTCCTCTTTCCAGATAAGATGAATTTTATTTAAGATTTGCTGCAGGGAGCTTATGATTGCAGGCTCCAGAACCTATTTTAAAAAGCCTTAGAAACAGAAGCAAATCTGTTTGTAGGCAGAAAATGCTTCTGCCTAGACTTTCAGGGAGGCTTTCCATCACTTTTTGTTAAATGTTGGTCAGAGCTACCATGGCCCAGCCCTTCTTTCAATACATGCAATTCCATGTTTAAAAACCCAGGAGAGGCATTCACATAAAAGTCTGATGCTATGTTTCAAGAATGCTAGAGTGAACAAGAAAGTATGATTGGATTTATGTTTTCTTTTAGAATATTTTGTGTGAATGCATCTTTATCTTGTATATATAATAAGAGTTGAGTGGAGAACTGCAAAGATACGTAAGCCCAGCATCCCTCTGTTTTCTCCCCATCTTTAGTTCCTCCCAAATCCATCCCATCCACCTATTCTTCTACTGCCTCTAACATGGGTAACTGACACATGGTAAGAGAGCAAGCAGCATTTTCTCAGCATACATCTCTGCTTATCTAAGTCCATACATTCCTTCAAACTAGGGGGCAACAAAACCTGCCCCACCCCCTGCCAGTCATCCCACAGCTCCACGGAATCTTGAAATGGATTATTCTAGGCTAACGCTCAGCACCTTGTTGAAAAAGGCAGAAACAAAGGAGTTCTAACTTGTGTCAGCTGCTAAGGTTGATTCTCACATAATATAGTGGCTATTGCATAGGCTCAAATACTGGCTTTCTTAATTACTAGCTAAGTGAACTCAAAGCTTGATAGCCTCATTTGTTAAATGGGTATAATAAGGTTTCTCTACTTTAAACGGCAGTTCTAGGGATCAATTGTTGTGGTGCTTATAAACACCTTGAACCAGCACCTAGTGCATGAAAAGTAATCAGTAATTAGTACCTAGTGCTGACAATATCTCCCTAAATGAAGATCTACCCTTTTCTTGGTTTTCCCTTAATCTAAATGAAGTTTTTTTTTTTAAAGGTAACTCTGCCCGCTTTGGCAGCACATATACTTTTTTTAAAAAAATGGAACAATATAGAGAAGATTAGCATGGCCCCTTGCACAAGCATGACACACAAATTCGTGAAGTGTTCCAAAATAAAAAAAAATTTAAAAAAATAAATAAATTTTTAAAAGGTAACTGAAGCTCTCTCTCTGTTCAACAAATCCTTGGCACTCAGCTGTCTACGCTGTTTCTGTATTCTGCTATGTACAACATTTGTTTGGATGTTTCTGTCAATCACTTCACCACTTATGACGATCCTTCTATGTGCAAGTGTCATTTCTGCCTGTTCTTGACCAATGTCTGCATGGACACAGGCACCAACCCTGCAGTTTTACCAGGAGTGGGCCATTAACTCCAACGGGGTCCACAGATGACATCATCTTTGATTAGCCCACCAAGGTAAAGGTTTTGTCAGGACTTATAGAGAACAGCCATCATTGGATGAGAATTCATATTAACCAAACTCACAGGTTGATGTGTAAGCCAGAAGCTATATGCATGGGGTACAAAACATAACTGGCAAGGCTCTAGAGTGCTCAGACCATTATGATCAGCATAGGATGATATACCTGGGAAATCCCAGCCTGCACCAGAAAGTTGTTGAGTGAGCATATTATCCAGGACAGGAGAGTCTGTACAGCAATTCACAGCTCAGTGGCAACAGGTCATGATAGGCTTGTGTATTTACCGCAAGAATAGGGCTAAATCTGTCAGAGAACCAAAGAGCCCCAGTCAGGCCTGAACCACCAGCTTCTGCTTCTTTGTCTTTCAGTTATGAAGAAAAGCTTATGGAAGGCTGACAAGTACCTTCTACACACAGTTTTTTCCCAGAGTACATTCAGTGCAATTAATTAGGTTTCACACTACTGAATGACAATCACAGATCAACCCAGAATCCCTGAGATTATTTCCAGGTCACATAAATGGAGTTTCTCCTCCACACATGTGCAGAACATCTCTCTACCCACAGCCACGGATGGCAGGTTCCACCCATGTAGGATGTATGGGTCATTATTATTTTCAGTTTCCTGGGGTGGGCAGTGGATGGGCTTCTCTGTCACCTCCATGAACCATCTATTTGCAAAATCCCTGTAGGATCCCCATCTCCTATTCTATTTCATCATCCTTTAGAAAACAAAATAGGAATTCATTGGCAGCAGTACCTCATCAATGTCACCAACTTGCTAGGAGAAGCTTCAGATGTTTGCTTTATGAATATGAAGAAACCACATTTCAAGCATCAGTTGGATAGAGACAGAGCAGATTCAGGAGCAGAACAGAACAGAACAAGGCCAGGAACTGCTGTCTTCACAAGGACTTGCAGAAAGAAGTAACATGTTCCTTGCCTGTATTTAGAAAACTGATATCCACTACTTTAAAAGGAATGGCTCCTCTACTACTACATTTATCCTGGCCAATATCCTCCTCTTCTACCATGATGTCTTAACATTCCATGGCAGAACACTCAGCTTTAGTCCTCCAAAGAAAGAAAGTTGAAACCTGGCATAGAAATGTCTTACTCCTCAAGTCTCAGACTCCTTGTGCTGGATGAGAGCTATAAGAGGTCTTTCAAGAAACCCTCTGGTTTCAGAACTGATATTTTTCAGAGGAACTCTAGCAGAGGAAGCACCTTGCTTCTTACACAGTTGTGGAACTGATGTCTCCTGCTCTCTTAGTCTGTATTTAACCGGGCTTCATGGCAGTGTTGACGAACAGTCCAAGCTTTAGGGCCAGGTAATCTTACTTGGAGATCTTGGCCTGACCATTTCTGGCAAATCATTTAACTTTTCTGAACCTGTTCTCTTAGTTGTAAGTGGTAACTACTGTGCTCAGAGTTGTTGGGAGGATGGCATTTAGAAATTGCTCTGTTGGTGCCTGCTTTATTAATGTAAAGGCACTTGTTATCTGCAAGAGGAGACATCATTAGAGAAGTCACCCACAGACAACACCTGACTTGCTCAGTTCAACTATCCCAGCACATCAAGGCCAGCATGAACGCCACACTCCCCGTGTCATCCTACCAAGCATAAAACTGTTTGCCTCCCTCCCTTTCCTGGTTTCCTCCAATTTACATGGAAATACTACCTTCCTGGGTCTTAAACACATGCTTCAAATATGAATAGAATCTCTTCAATGAAAGGCATTTGTGTACTTGAAAGAAAGACAGGTAGTTGGAGAAGGCAAGACAAGGCAGAAAATACTCTCAAAACAATTTAGATCATATAATTACTATACGTTTAGAACAGACCTTAAGAATCATCAAATGCAACACTCATTTTATCCGTACAAAATTGGGACCTAGAAAAGAAAAGGGGCAAATCCAAACCAGTGACAGATCCCAAAAATCAAGACCTCTTAAATGGGTTAAGAGCAGTCCCAAACTGGACAGACCCACTGAAACTGACACAAGCAGAAAATGTCAGCATGTTTTTATTTATATACTACTACAAGAAACACTGGGATAGGCACTAAAACTTAGGGGGAAAGTTTCATCTGTCCCCTAGGAACTTAGCTGCATAGCTGATGCTGCAATAGTCATGAAAGTCTTGAAATGACAAGCTGTGAACATGCTGAGGGGTTCCAGCAATGGGAACAGAGTAAAATCACAAAAGACCTCTTCCCTTCATGCAAGTGGGACATGCTGGAGCTTCAAAAAATGGACATATTATGAACAGTCCACATCTAGAATGGAAAGGATATTCAAGTGTAAGTTAAGCATATCAAGTTCTCAAGTCAGCAAAGGTCATCCACAGGTAACGATACCTGAATGCTGTCTGATCTCTTGCCTCATACAATCTGATTCTCTCAACATAAACCTTAAGGTTCCCAAGTTTCTAAACAACCTCCATGAGCTATGCACACACACACACACCACAACACACACACACAGGGATACACACACCAAAAGGTACAGCCTTGATCACTCCATTGTTGCAGCAGCCTTCATTCCTGCCCTCCACAAAAGCTTGCCCAGCTTTCTTGGTGCTCCCCACAGGGCTGAAGTTTGCATTGTTTTTGCTTCTTTGTCACTTTTCACATGCTATCTTGAAACGCAGCTTTTATCCATAGATCTTGGAGAGCAAGTCTCCAGAAAATGGGACTCAAATCCGTCCAACTATATTAACATCGATCCTAGCTTCATCTCACTTTTCTACCTTAATTTTTCCTCTATTTTATCTCTTATCTTGTTTAAGGGTTTTTTATAAATGATTGTCATTTCTTTTTAAAGCAATATGGTATCTAATGTATTACTCTAGCCTGTTTGCACAGCAGCCCGACAAGACAGACTCTGTTCCCTCATCAGGGGATGTCTTAGCTTCCCATGGCTTACTTCCTACTTTCATTCAGCCTTCCAAGCATAAGCCAAATATCACCTTCCCTGGAGCAATTCCCTAACTCCCCCAAGTAAACCATTCACTTCCCTGCACTGTGAGCTTCAGATGCATCTGAAATCTATCCCTTTATAAAACTCACCTATTCCATGTTTCAATTCACTCTAAAAGCCATGAAAAAAAGTTATTTTCACTGAAGCAAATGGTCCCATCATGTCACTTCCTTACCCCAAAACACTCAACAAATCCCATTGTACAATGAAGAACTCTACTTCCAGTTCAACTCTAGTTTGATTTACTATTTTTTTTGTATACATCTAAAACTGAAAACTTTTCTCAAGCATGTTTTATTCTCTGCTAAAAGTAAAGAGGGAGAAGATGCTAATTTGTCTTCCTAGCACCTGGGCTGCACATCATAAAGACATACACACCTAGACTACTTTGTTCAAATCCTAGCCCTGCCACTTAATAGATGTATGATTGTAGGCAAATTACTCTGAGTTTCTTTACATTAAACATAAGAATTTAGGGCCCGGCGCGGTGGCGCAAGTGGTTAAAGGTCCTCGCCTTGCACGCCCGGGATCCCATATGGGCGCCGGTTCTAATCCCGGCAGCCCCGCTTCCCTTCCAGCTCCCTGCCTGTGGCCTGGGAAAGCAGTCGAGGACGGCCCAAAGCTTTGGGAACCTGCACCCGCGTGGGAGACCCGGAAGAGGCTCCTGGCTTCAGATTGGCATAGTATCGGCCCATTGTGCTCACTTGGGGAGTGAATCATCGGACGGAAGATCTTCCTCTCTGTCTCTCCTCTTGGTATATCCGCCTTTCCAATGAAAAAATAATAAAAATAAATCTTTAAAAAAATAAATTAAATAAAATAAGATTTTAAAAGTTATTTTAAAATAAAATAAGGCATGTAAGAAAATGTTCAGCCTTATTCCAAACATACAAAAGGTGCTCAAGACATCCTGGCAACAAAGTATGGGTCATCACTATCCTTGTTACTATCCAAGCTTCCCCATTCTAGATGACCAAAGCAGAAGGTCAGACTCCACTTCACCATCTTGGTCTCCAGTGTTAACACAGGCACTTCCAGGACCCGCAAGCCCCTTTCATAACACACACCACAGTGCTAATGCAGCCATAAGCAGGGTGCTTCTTCAGATCATCACTTAGCCAGGGCTCCTTCGCCACTCAGCAATTTCTCCAAGCTCCAGGAATCTTTTTCATTTAAAAAAAAAAGCCCTAAATGCTTCTATCAGTAAGAATTATTCCACTGTCCACTGGAATATCACAGAAGCTACTATCAAAGGAAAAGTGAATACTGACAAGACCCCAATCAGGTCCATCTGAATGTCACAATGAAGACGAACAGTTTCTCTCTGGAAGGAAGACCATGCCCCCAATCACAGCTTCCAGTCAGTACTAGAACTAGAGTCTGATTGGGTTGAGTTATTCAAATGTTGTCATTGTGTTCCCCTAAGGGAGAGATCTTCAGGATTGCCTCACAGGTTTAAAGAAGGCACTGTCTATGGAGAGGAAGCCCATCTTTTTTTTTTTTTTTTAACTCTGTGCAATACTGGCTGGGATTTACAGGAATCCAACTCATGGCTGGAACTCCTTTAGATCACTGCTGATCAGCTGTGTGACTGAGTGAACAGATGCCGCACATCAGGAGCTGGGTGGAAGTTTGAAACTACATCAGAAGACTCCCAAGATGTGTCTTCACATCTCTGAGTCAATTGGAGATGAGGTCATGATCCAAAGGAG